GCCCCGACTCATAGTGACCCCTCCTTGGGTTTCCGAGGCAGTATCACTACGGAAGTAGGATTGCCCAACCTTCCTTCCAAGGAGTGGCTGGTGGGTCTTTACAAAGCTAGAAGTCCAAATTCAGGGTCCTAGCTTTAAGGGAAGGCTTTCTCTCTGTGTTGATCTCTGTTTCATTTATCAACTCATGTCAATCTTGTTTTATCTATCCTCCCTCCCTCATCCTCCCCTTCTTAGTTTGAAGCATATTCACAGTCTTTCAGTTGCCAGCATTGTGTTAGTGCTCTTTCACATTATCTTCTCTTCTTTTTCTTCCAAAGTTTTAAACATTTATTTTGTTGTTGTTGAGAATATGCACAGCAGAACACATACCAATTCACTAATCTCTACATGTACAAGTCAGTGACATTAATAACATTCTTCAAGTTGTACAATCATTTTCATATCCCTCCCTTTCCAAATTGTTCCTTCCCCATTAACATAAACTCACTGTCCCCCCCACAAAGGTTCTTATCTAATTTTTCTAAAAAATTTGTAGTAGGAGATATATTACTCAGTAAATATTACATGTTACTATTATATACAAGAATATCCCTATTCTTTTTATTTGTTTTGTGATTTGTGTGAAAGTGTATAGAGCAAATTCATTTTCCATGCAACATTTCATACACCTGTTGTTTCATAACTGATTGCAATCCCCATAATATAACATCTATCTTCCTACTATCTTCTTGTGGTTACCTTTTTCCTGTGTCCCTCTTTCCTATGCATTCTTGCCCTCTGAGCTATGTCCCATGGTTGATTGTTCCAAGGAGTGTATCTATGCCTTATATGCCTGTCTATTGCTTGGCTGGAAGCTATGGGAGTGAGTTCAATTCCAGGCCAGAAGGGTCACTAGGGGCTATAGTCTGTCTTGGGGTTTCATTAGTCTCTGTCAGACCTTTAAGCCTGGTCTTTTTTATGATTTTGAGATTTTTCTACATTTTTTTCTCCCACTTTATCCAGAATCTCCTATTTTGATCCCTTTCTGAGTGGTTGACAGTGCTAACCATGCACCATCTACTTCTTCTGGTCTCAAGGTTATATAGGCTGAGAATCATATGGTCTACTAGTCCACTGGACTAATTGTTTCTTTGTGTCTTTGTTTTCCTTCTTTCTCCTTTGCTCCAGATAAGGAGACACCCACTTGCAAGCTTTAAAGGCCCTAGTCACTACTGACCAAAATACAGTGTAGAACAATGTTTTTGTGTAGTACATTAGGCCAATTGAGCTTGATTTCCCCTGAGACCATGGTCCCGAGCCCATGGACCCAGTGACTCACTCCACCAGGGTTTTTGGCTTTGGCTAAGAAGTTATCATAACTTTGCCCTGTTACTCACTGCCGTCAAATTGGAGCCAACTCATAGTGACCCCTCCTTGGGTTTCTGAGGCGGTATCACTATGGAAATAGATTGCCCAATCTTCCTTCTGAGGAGTGGCTGGTGGATTTGAACCGCCAGCCTTCTGGTTAGCAGTCAAACGCTTTAGGCACTACACCACCAGATCTATACTATATATATGGAAATTCTTTTCTTTTTATTTTTCTTATTGTGATTTGGGTGAAAGTTTGCAGAGCAAATTCACTTTCCGTACAGGAGTTCCCCGCACTTGTCTCATGACACTGACCACAATTTACCACAATGCAACAGTTCCCTCCCACTCCCTCCCAATAGTTACCTCTTCCCTGTGTCCATCACTCCATGTACTCCTG